GCAAAGTGCAACATACTCGCTCCCTTTTCAACGCTCCGTCCCATTCCAGATCCACAAGGCCACCTTTTTTTGCGATGGCTTTTTTGACCCTTCGCGCAAATGCTATGGCATCCTCACCTGGCTGAAGTATAATTGATTAGGACCATTGCTTTCCGGCAAAAAGAAACACGTCCAGCTTGCAACATACCTCTCTCGTCATTGGTGGTAGGTACCACACGTCGCAGATAATTGCCCATGATGTCATCATTCTCCACAGATACTCTCCGTAAGACTGCTCGCTGCTGTTCCAGAAAGCATCAGTCAATCGACTGTCGTACTTCATAGCTATTGGATAGATTGTGCTACCAATCTGTGAACTTATCGGTAGCAGACAGTATTTTCTCGAACGCTCAATCCACTGACACGAATGCATGCATGCTCACCTCAAAAGACCCTTTTTTGAACATCATCACAGAAGTATTATTGATGCAAGTTCCCTCAGGGAAAATAATGATTGGCAGTTTGTTTTCATCTTCCACATGTTCTCTTAGCCTGAATACGCAAGCAAAAACATGACTTTTTGTATCCTAGCAAACAAAATCAGAATAATGTCATAAGGGCATGATCGAACAACCTTTGAGTAACTTTTTTCCTATCAGCTGCTTCGCTCCTTTCGAACCAGATATGGTGCTCAGCACGACTCAACGAATCTTGTATGAAACCTTAACATTATCGAGAATACAGATTTGTCATTATGCTAAAGCTAAACAAGCGTACCAAGAAAGCCTCCTTGTTTTTGACCAATCATAGCATAACAATTATCACAACTCAATACCATCACGTCGATTGGCGAAGTATGATTTGCGACGCAAATACCTCCTTTTTTAGCTCGGTTTTCTCTTAAAAAGGGAAACTCTTTCTTCAACGATTGCAATAATCTGCGCGAACGTGCCTATCATGAAATCGGATAATGCTCGAGAATGAACGAGAGAATATCCGCATAGACACGAGCATCACGTGACGGTTGAGAAACTTCTTGACTCTGTTAATGAAATATCAAGAATTTCTACAAAAATTACCATAGAACTCACTTTACGTTGGGAATATGACCCACTAAGTAACACACACCACACATGGTTGACATTCCCAGAATAAATAAGAATACGCGGATTGGAACAAGAATGCAATATCGAAAAAGAAAGCCGCCTATCCATAACAGCGAGAGTTTCCAGCTAAAGTGCACAAAAAAGAGAGATTCTGAACAGCGAGATGATCTAATGACCAGGTTTACCTTATATGCTGAAAGGAGAACCTTGTTCTTGTGAGAAGGTTCCATGACGGGATCTGCTCTGCGCGGAACCGACTAGTCACCTGATCCTCAATTATGGCTTCAATGCCAGCCTGCAAACTTCTTCTGACTTGCTGAAGAAGGACTACCACCCACCAACCGTTATGAAATCGATGCTGTCATCGACAACCACGCTGACAGTGGTTTGCCTTTGTGGCGGCTCATCTGTCGAATGGAGTTTGGTATCGATTATCTCAGATTTTTCGCGATGAATTATACCTGCAAGATCATAAAAGTGTTCAATAAACAAGAGAAAGACACGTACCGAGATCTCCGGAAGAGTGCCGCTTTTTGACTCGCGGTGGTGGAAAAAGTGAATTAGATGGATCCTCTGGAAGTTCTTCAAAGTTGCGACCATTAGTCACCTTGGAACCCCACTGAAAGCAAATAAAAAGTGCACTTGAAGTGAGAATATGAGCTTTTCAGGTCAGGCTTATGCCACAACTAGTTCATGATATACCGACACGACCCGCGCATTCAATTCCCTTCCTCTTTCTACTTTTATTAGTTTTAACAAGTGTATTTCTTGTGTCCCCATCGCAGCAAAGGATTAAAACCTCTAGAAAGAAAAAGAGAGCACACGTGCGCGAAGGAAAGGCGTGTTTGCTGTAACTCGCATTCAAAGTATGCAAAAACATCGAAAGAGTGAATTCACATTCCCCCTTGTCATACCAAGAAGATCTGAAAGAAAACCCCTCAAAAGCATGACGGCACTCTGAAGTAAGGATTCTACATGTAAGACACTTATTGCAAATTAGTACAGGGAGAAGCAGAGAAGATTTCGTGTAGCTTAAACTCCCCTAGTCCAGTGCGAAGGGAAAAAGAAGAAACGCAGGATTAGGTAAAGCCTCATATTTCGTTTGATATGTACAACCACACAATGCTGGCATTTTACCAGCCAGAGATAAAAGAGAATGAAAAAGGACGACACAATGTACATACTGTCTTGCGGTATGGCGAGTCGCAGCAAGGCGGATGCCCATGCCCGTTTTCCCAGCATAAGCTGCATGTTGTCAATAAATTGTTGCATGTTGCTAACATGTTAGCATGCGTGCAGGTCAAAGATGCAGAGCAGGGATAGCAGCAAGTGGAAGGGACTATAGGCACGACTGCAGGCGGTGAGTATTCAGATCCGGACTATAGATGACTATGTCGTCACCCCCTCATCTGATGCGGCTCGCTAAACTGCACACAGAATGATGATGTGTCAGAACAAAAAAAAAGTCAGCACCGTAGATCACAAAAATACCTACTACAGAAACATCTAGGAGCCATGTACGCAAAAATGCGAAGTCGACAGCAATAACTTCACGAAAAACGTCTTCGGCTTTTTATGCGTCCATAGTCATCAGTGTGCTGGCACATCTCCAGCACAAATGCTCGCAAAATTTGGTTCACCGCATGACACTTCATTTGCGCCGTTTCTAATGTTCTTCTTTTTTT